TCTCCTATCATCCCAGCCTGGTGCAGCGCATCCTGGGTGCTGCCCTCTAGTGGACACCGGAAACCGGGCGGCCGGGGGCGGAAGTGGGATAAGAGGATTGAAATGCAGGCGTTGAAGCAAAATGTATATAAATAGGTGAATGTCAACGTCATGATCTGCTCTCTAAACCTTCACTGCCTTGGGAAATACTGTGGCCTCCCCGGAGGAAAGGTGAGCTCATTGAAAACCTTTAGAACTTCCAGGCGCCCTTTCTTGATTTTGCGTCTGGCCTGAACGTCTGTCGCCCAAAGCTATTATTGCTAGGTGTTGTCATGGCAGTTCCAACCCACAGCAACACCGCGTGTGACAGACGAGAACTATATGAAGTTTTGGTAGGTTTTGTCCCTCCCATGCCCCCTAGAGGAGGTTGAAAGGAAATCAGGCAACCATTAGATACCTGTGAAAAAAAACCCCAAACTGAACATGCTCCTATTTAAGCCCCTGAAACAGGTGGGAGGTACAACTGGGCGGGACAAACTAAGTCCAGGTTCATGACATCATCCAGGTGGACCTTACTCAGCCAATGGAGTCAACTAATACCATCAACCAAGCCTTCCCCCAGCCAGGGGTTGGGCGAGAATAGCAGGGAGCACACTCTGGGATGTCTCTTACTCTGCTCCTCGTCAGAAGTAGGTAGAGGGGGAGAGTCTCCCTCCCTTGCATGGGCACATATGTGCCCACTTAGGGTTTACGTGGGTCCCACAGCCTCTGGGCCCATGTGCTCTCAGCCTCTGGGGTTTTTGGCCAAGGCTTCCTGGGATTAATCCCTCCCCACAAGATCCACACGCATGGGTGCTCTTTTCCATGTGGTTGTTTGTGCCCAATTGTGCACCCCTTTGAGACGGCAACACCTGAAACTTGTCCTGTCCTTTATAAAAACCCACTTGGGTTGCAAAACAGTCTTTGGTGTGAATTCTTTCATCGGGTGAAGCCAAGAACCTAGATATTGTTAACTCCAGAAACCTCACACTCTGTCTGAGGTTTCACGATAGCGTCTGGAGGGGTGTTTGGCCAATCCATCAGATCAGAATTGGGGAGGACAGAGGTGGCGACTCCCTTCTATTTGCATGTCTTGGTCTTCCTTATGTGGACCCTTAGCCTATGTGTACGTTCTGCCTTCTTCCTTTGTCTATCTTTCCTGTAAGTAGCCTGCTCCTCCCTGCCTTCCCGGATTACCAAGGAGATTGCTCAGGGCTCCTGTCCTTTCCTGTTTCCTTGAACTTCACGTTGGCAGCTTGGAGGTCAGAAAGTGAATGTGAGGGCATTTGGACTACTTTTAAGATTTAGGAGAAAACTCAGGCTCTGTCAAGGGCGCCTTTGCTTTTAGTCACTAACTCAACTATCACTTCAACCTTCTCCCCAGTGCCCTGGCCCCTATTTTCTACCCTTTGGTCCATCTTCAATAGAACCCTAACTCAACAGACCTTCCATGGCTCCCTACGACTTTCGGGAGAAAGTTCCAGCCTCACTAACTAGCCTTCAAGGTCTGTGGTAGTTGGGTGATATTATGTCAACTAGACAGTCCTGGGTGATCAAGTTACCTCTCCTGGACGTCAGAAGCCTTTGCTATAAGAGTGAGGGACTCTGGGAAATGCTCTCTCTCTGCCACGTCACCTTTCTCCTTGATGAGACTTCATTAGGATCCCGTGCCTGCCTCGAGAGGTGGCCTCTGACCCTGAGAGATGCTGTTGCCTTACCATGTCCCCACCAACCATGGATCCACGCGATTCTGCACCCACCGGCTTGTGATCTTCCTGCATCCTGCCTCACCCTTCTGCACCACTGGCATGTGTCTACGTGTGTCCACCTGAGTCTGAAGAGGGTACTTATGGACTTGCATTGGACTCATGGACTGTGGTCAGACTGGACTGGGGGGGCCTTCTTGATACACAAAGACTTCTGGATAGAAAGCTCTCTCTTATACATAGATGAGTGTCACTGGGCTTGTTTTTCTAGACAACCCGGCCTCACACAAGGTCCTTGGGGATCTGACCCTTGTCATCTTCTTCCATCTTATCCTGCCTCCCTCTCACCCACACATCGTGATCTCCTAGCCTTCTCACCTCCCGATTCTGTTGGAAAGACCTAATGCTTGAGGGAGAGTACAAAGTAAGGGAGTCAAGGATGGGTCTTCCCAGAAACCAAATCAACATCCTTCTAGGTCATTCTGACTCACAGGGGCCCTAGAAGACAGAGTAGCCCATCAGGCTTCTCAGGCTATAAATCTCCTCTTTCTCCTCCAGAATGGTGGGTTCAAACCCTGGGTCTTTCAGTTAGCAGCCCAATGCTTAGCTCGTTCTTTTCTTTCTTCTTCTTTTTTTGCTTGAATCATTTCACCATTCTCAAACTCCAAGAAACTCACTGCCATCTAATTGATACCAACTTCCAGTGACCCTACAGGACAGGGTAGAACTGCCCCGTGAATTTCTGAGACTAGAACTCTTTGTGGGAGTAGAAAGCCTCCTCTTTCTCCCGTGAAGCAGTTGGTGGTTTCCATTTCCAAAGACTGTCCTTAAGGTTAGCAGCCCAGCGTGTAACCACTACACCCCCAGGGCTCCTGCTTCACCAGTAGGAAGTCATGTATCTCCCTGGGTGAAAAGTCCCAGCAGGTTGTAAAGGAGAAACTAACATCTGGGTGTCAGAGAGGCGGAAGTGAGGTCTCTGTGTTTCACACGTTGGGCACCTTGATGCTTTCCTGTGGGGTACCAGCCTCCACAATCAAATGGGTGCAAGGATGGGAAGACCCATCCTTGACTCCCTTACTTTGTAATTGAAGGATAAAACTCAAGAGGCATCAGACAAGATAAAGCATGAAATTGCTCACCTCCCGGATGGACATGATCTCAGCAGCCAGGTCTGTGCAGAGAGCGAGGATATATTTCCAATCACAGCTTATATATATTTAGAGGACATGTAAGCCCCCCTGATTACAAATAACCATATACATAACAGGAAGGGGCTGTGCAATAGGCATACGCATGAGAGGAAGGGGATGAGCCAGGGGTGTATATGCAATAGGAAGGGGGGGAACTAGGGGTACTCATGTGACAAGATGAGAGGACCCTAGATTCAAGATGGCAGCCTCACCTTGGGCCTTCTTGAGTTGGCTCGACCTTGTCTCTGGGCTCTCCTTCAGGGGAACAATCCACTATCCTTATCAGCAGGGAATGGGCCCTACAAGCATGGAACAGACAATAGTGTCTTATTGCTCCAGATGGCTGATACCCTCAGGGACATGACCTCTAAGCAGCTGACTTCCAAGGGTACAGTCATTTAGCATGAGTCATATAACATGGGGCGGAGGGTGGGGGCAACCTGGGGAAAATGTTTGTTTCCCACACTTTCCAGAGACACTCACCCCCCCACGAGTTGTCATATATCTTTATTTCATAGGTAAGAGCATCTACACCATGAAGGACGTCATCACAAGGACACACAGGTAAGTGGAGGAACTGGAATGCCATTTGAGGTTCGTCTAGGCTTGTAACTAACTACTCCGTGGTAGGAAGAAATTAAGGCCATGGAATGTGCAGGGCAAAGGACTTTCCCTGAATCCTCTGAGAGGTGGGTGTCTTATCTTTCCTGGGATCCTGGTGATGCAAGCCTGGCACTGGGGTAAAATTGGGGAGAATGCCTGTTCTCTTGTCACCACCTTCCTTAAGATCAAGGATTAAATACGGGTGGGGGTGGGGGGTAGAAAAGGCAAGAACTTGTTGGGAGATCATCTGGAACCAGCCAGTGAGGTGGGAGGTGTCAACCTTTGAATGTTTCCTGGCAGCGTCTCCTGCCCTTGATGATGTTTTGGATCCAATTGAAATATCGGCAGATGTTGGTGTAGACTCCTGGCTTCTCTTTTGACCCACAGGGGATGTTGCCCCAGGAAATAAGGCCTCGGAGACGGTCTCCACACACCAGGGGACCCCCGGAGTCACCCTGTGAAGAAGAGGGAGAGAATCAGATGTAGACATGCAGAGACAGAGAGAAAGACAGGAGGAGAGAGATACAGACAGATGGATACGTGGATTGACAATCTGGCTACATGACAGATGATTGATAGAAATAATAGATGATGTAGATAGCAGGTAGATAGATGATAGATTTTGGATGATAGAAAGATAGCCAATTATAAACAGATGATATATGAATAGATAGGTCTTCGAGACATAGATGATAGGTGGTAGATGGTAGGTAGCTAGATGGAGAGATAGAAAGATCCCAGAGATGGAGGAGACACTAGGACACAGAGAGGCAGGTGGTGAGAAACAAGGTCACAGACCTGGAGGAGCCACATGGAGCAGTAGAGAGCCAGGAAGGCCAAGATCTGGCGAAGCACAGAGCTCACTAGGAAAGAAGTGGAGCAAAGGTTAGGGGCGGAGATTGAAAGTCTGGGAAAGACGCAAAGGTGCCCAGAGGGGGTGGGGAGGAGAGCCAGAGAGGATGGAAGAAAGGGAAAGACTGAGAGAAAATGGTGAACTGAGAGGAATAAAGAGAGAGGGGGAGGGAGAAGGAACTGGGGAGAGAGGGAGCTAGAAAGAAGGGAAGGAGAGAGAAAGAATGAGAGCGAACAGATCTAAAGATGCTGTCAAAATAGCCCAAGACCCTGAAGAAAGCAGAGTCGGGAAGGTACTGGGAGAGACAGAACACAGGAGACAGGAGGCAAGAAAGGGCCAGAGAGGGGAAGAAGATGCATCCTCTTCAGGGTACCTCGCCCCCTCTCATCCTCAGATCAGAGTCAGAAAGGGTGCTTGTGGGTCTGTTTCTCCTCATGCCTTGAAAGGCGTGGGAACGGATTTAGGTATAAGAGGAGAGACTCAGGTAGTGAACTCTGATGGAGGACACCCAGGCAGAAAACTATCAAGGGCTGTGGAGCCCTTTCTCTCTCCAATGGAGGTCCTCCTCCTCCTCCTCCTCCCCCAAGTGCCGCTGTTTTTAAGCAGGACTCGCGAAAGAGAGCCCTGGGTTAGCACTGGCTACTAACCCAAAAGGTTGGGTCCTCCCAGAAGACAATCGTGACCCTCTCCATCTGAATAGCCATCGAGCGTCATTCTACTGTGACGCCCCCAGAGGGGCCCTAAGTCAGAATGGACTCCGTTGGTTTAGGGAGGGCAACCCCCTCAGTCGACCAGTCATCAGCCACCTTATTGTGTCTCTGGTTTTTTGTCTCTCCTCCTCGCTCCTTGTCTCTGGTGGCTCTGTGCTCTCCTCTTTGCCTGTCACCGGTTGTGTCCCTCCCTGTCCCTGAAGTCTCTCTCTGGGTTGTGATCCTTTTCTTGCCTCTGGATTTAGCCCCCATTGACTCTCCCTTCCTATTGGTTCTTGATTCCATAATCCAGCCCCCTTACTGATCCTTGACTCACTGGCCCCTCCTTCTTCTATCAACTCATCTTCCTATTGGCTCTTTATACAATAGTCCTTTGGGGTTTCTCTCTCTCTCTCTCTCTCTCTCTCTCTCTCTCTCCTTCCCTCCCTTCCTCCCTCCCCTCTTCATGTCTCTGGCTGTATTTTCATGTTTCTGCCCTTGAAAGTTGGTGGTTCATAAAAAAATTAGAAAGAAAGAAAGTTGGTGGTTCAAACCCACCTGCTGCACAGAGGGAGAAAGATGAGGCCATTTGCTCTGGTAAAGAGTTACAAACCCTCCAAAGCCCTCTGTAGGGGCCACTAGGGGCTGGAATCGAATGGCTGGCAGTGGGTTTGGTATGGTCCTCGGCTGAGTGTAATGGTTTAAACGGCGGTCTCCCAAAAGACACACCCGCGCGGCACCTATCCACGCAACTTTATTGGTCTTGT